AATGTACACGAACATGTTCAGTCGCATGCTGACAATGATCCTTCGTGATATGAGACTTGGCATCACCAGCAATGCTTCACTTGAAGTTACGGCGGATTCACTTGAAGTTACAACGGATTCACTTGAAGTTGAAAAGGTATATAACCGTGCTCCAGGTATTCCTTGAAGAAGACAACTGCTTTTGTTTTACCTCGGTAAACCCGATATTGTTGAATAGGTTTGCAGGAAAAGATTCAAGTTCAGGCAGTTGCAAATAATATTTCATTGATGCTGTGCCTCTTTCTATCAACTAGGATGTGCCACAAAGTCCCCTTTATTCGCCTTGTGTCTGTTCTAATCCTTGAATGTAAATATGCTGAGGAGGCAGCGTTTAAACGTAAACTGTCATGGCCCAATGTTCGCATTGAAGTTCAAACGGGACTTGATGAAGTCATTGGGCAGTTCACACCTCGAAAAAGCTTGGGTACCCTCGGGTTAAGCGGAGCTAAATGCTACCAAGCGCATCCCCGGCTTGTGGATAGCGGGATACCTTCACTGTCTCAAAATAAAAGACGCCGAATGATGCTGGGGGCGTCTCTCGTACCAAACTCCCAAGGAACTTCATGATCTTGATCATGATCACGTCTGGAGCCGGGGGGGGAGGAGGTTGTCCTTTCTTCTTGATTGCGGTTTCCGTCCGTTCTCAGGTCATGGCGTAACCTTTTCATATTCAAAGGTGAATTCGTCGTTTACACAGCAAATGAAGCGTGAACTGGATAGTCAGGAAGCACTGGACAGCTGTTTCTGCCTGGTTGGGTCTCATCAGTAGTGCGAATGCATCGACCCAAATGGAGATCGAACCCGATACCTCGCGGGCAGGACACAAGTATGCTACCCACTCGGCCACCGGGCAGCTGATCCGACCGTTCCCTTTCATTTTCCATTTACACTACATAGCGCAACCCGTCTTCACGAACTTGTTGTGGGCTACAGACCATGCTCATCTCAGTACTAGCCTCCGCGGTTATGACTCGGTTTGTAAACATTCACAACCTGACTATTTATTTATTTCAAATGACCTTTTATGTTGCGTCATTTTGTCCTTGAGTTGCATTGGTGTGTACACGTGATCCAATTCGATGTGCCTGTTTATTGAGTTGACTGAAGAGTGCCAAACCTTGATAAATTCTCTGGTATGTTTCAAACGGGTTTGTCGATTGTTTTCACTGATTCGAAGTCAAACTGGTGTCCTTCTTAAAATTCGTGGCGGGAAATCAACGATAGTAGATCATTTTTCTGACTACCGGTTATTGTTCACGGATCCCAGTTTGTCCGATATAGTGTTCTGGGCAGTTCTTGCAGTTTATTTTGTAGATAACGCTGCTCTTGTCCTTCTCCATTGTTCTCTTCTGTACTTCTTGTATTCCAACTCCATACTTCTCTACTTATCGTGCTTCCTTTTTGACCTTGAACACTTAACCAATGAACTACGTGCATGTTTAGTTAATTAAGCTAGTTCATACCTATTTCACCATCGTTTTCTATCCTCCTATTTTCATATATCCAGTAATAATGATGTAGAAAACTGAATATCACATTCATTCTACTCGACTGTACGTGACTTGAACAAAATCGTCAAAGCTCCGTTCTTTTTGTTCTGTAAATTTCATTTGTTAACTTTAGATTAATGATATTTCCGGGTGATCACTGAATCACTGGTTTGTTCTTTCCCTCCCTGCCCTGCCGCGCCCTGCCCCGCCCTTTAGCTCGTCGATACAAACATGTGGTGGAAAGAATCAACTATTATTGGCCACAAATACGGAAGTTAGGTGATCGTCCCAAATTGCAACGAGACCTTGTTTGCAGTTTCCTAGCGTTTGCATTTGTATGGGGAGTGGGCGGGTCGTTGTGTGGAGATCCACCACTTCGTCACAAGTAAGTCGAATGTGAATGCTCGATAATATGATCTTAGTTTTGTCCAGCAAAATGAACCACCTGCATGCTCCGGCTCCATTTAAACCTGACGACATCGCTGTCAATCACGCAAGAGAATAACAGACACGTGGTTACCACATTTCTGAATTTCTTTGAGCTATGAACATGCATCATGTTCTTGCAGTCAGTTGTGTATTTTTATGACTTGTCGCAAGCGACCGTGTTCGATCCGCTGTCGGTAGCGGTCGCAATGTGCGTGAATTATCTTGGAAGAGAATAAAAGCAGTTGATGCATACGGTCAATCAAAACCCTCGAACGGAACTATATAAGCGCGGTCACAATGATGACCGAAATTGCACTGATAATTTGGCTTAGCCTGGCTACGATACGTCTGCAAACAACGCTTCCAACTTGGAGAACACCCCAACACTAGCATCCGCATCCAGAGCTACAATAAGTTCACAATAATTACATCACTGTTCCGTGTTTGTAAATTCGAATGGAATGTAAAAAGAAAGTTTTGAACAAATGTGTTGGCCGTCGATTGTCTCTAACTTAGGCGTGCGGTTTTCAGATCCCAACCTCAAATTTCGAGATTCGAGTTGGGGTAAGAACATTAAACCATCATGCACTACTGACGAATTCCAGCAGGCATGTACCGTTCCCGACGTTGACAAGTTGGTCATTTAAATAAGGAATGAAGCCAGAACACGAAGAACTATTTCTGGAGCCTATATGAATTTGTGCTCGGAATGAGGCAAGAACAACTCTGATCTCCGCCCTGTCTGAATGTAGTGGTTGTAGTAATAGTGGTAGTAGCACGCAATGAACACGAAACACGAATCATGGAATACGAATCACTGTTTAGCAGTCACAGCCCTGGACCACACTGGCACGACCACGCAATACCTCATGTAATTGAAGCGCGAGGAAAAGGTCAGAGAAGGAGTAGTTCATTTGTTGAAAGAAATAACGGGGATTGAATAATATTGTGATGGAAAGCGGTACAAAGAAAGTCCTGGCTAGTGACCGAATCAAGAATGGCACTCATCCGACCAGATGGGTGGACGCAGCGGCGGGAACTGTCTCGCGAGACAATATTGACTGCCACCCGAAACCAGCGAATCAGAAATTACGGCCAGACAGACAATCCGCAGCTGACGGGTAAGATACCCAACTGATGCCACAACGTCGGAGCTGTCGATCAACGCATCTCGTGCCGCGATCCGGTCAACCCAGTCGGAATGGCACGCGGAAGAAGAGGCAACGTACGTGCCGAGTGCGGACCAAAACCAACAAGGAATGACCCACAGAAAGAGGCATGAATCATCCTGTCGCGCGGTTGAGAATTGGTTGTAAATAATTGAACGCACACACCGTTTGCTTTTGGATTTAGATCAATAGACGTTTTTCCCAGCCAGCTCGCCTTCTCGCTACAATATGTACAAAGTAAGCTCATTGGTTATCCAGGCTTCTACCAATCGCGTTTCTAGTATTGCTTGTATCGTTCTGCTTCTGTCTGGACCTCTCGGTCTCGGATTGACTGCTACGATTTGTCCATGGTATGTAGTCGAAAGCAGTGACACGTACGCGCGTTGTGGACGTCACCCGTGAAGTTCGATTGATCGCAGTTGTCCAAAAACTGTAACGCTTCTCTCCAGGGTATCAAAACACCCAATCTTACCAAATGTCTGCTACTTCGTGATTGGAATAATCATTTCAGCATCCCGTCAGAAAAATGCTATTGAATTACCGTTTTCGTTGTTTGGTTTTTTCCCCCAAAGATTTTCGGCATGTTTCTTCCGGCGGTTGACCACATTTGCCTCGTTTCTGGGGTACTTTGACACATCCGTGTTGGAGTCGACCGATCGTACTAAGATTCAAACTTCTCTGGCCGCGTACTACCCGGTCGATGATTCTGGCTCTGGTGAATGGTTGACTCCGAATACCGAGTTGGACTCAGAGTATTGGCTTCCGAATTTATTCCATTATATTGTTGACCCACGAGAAGCTCGCCTGGTCCCGTTTTGGCACGGAATAGACAAATTCACTGATCGCTGGCCAGAAGAATATATGCGAGTTATTCGAACATCTGATGAATTGCCCCGTTCTGTTCCGTTCCTGTTACCCACTCCGTTCCATGTAAGCTCGTGGCTTAACAATTACTAAATTTTTTATGCTTGTATGGAATAATAACAATAATAATGTTAAATAATAATAACTGAAAACAAGTAACCACAACCATGGGAATGGATGAAAAACGGAATGTGCAATTTTTCGGTGTATGTCAAATAGGACAAGCAGTAAGAGAGTAGTTTGTATTTATACGGTACAATCGGCCTGATCTCGACAGATTTTATAACACAACAATTCGAGAACCTCCTCATCACAGTGTGGTACGCACAGAACTGTTACACGCCTAATGAGAAGGTGAATTCCTCGTTTCCACGTACATTTGTGATATTCCTTCTGTTTTGCCTGCACGTGTGTTTTGAAATGTGCACGTGATTAACTGACTTGTAAGCTGCAATGTTACGTATACCACTAAATGTGTTGCCACGGTGCGTGCTGTTTGCCGGGGTAGGTAGTGGGTGGAAAAAAGCCAAGGGTTGTCAGACTGGGGGAGCCGGGATGAGGGTATGAAAACTCTAACCAGGAGACCAGGTCATATAGGTCGAGCTAGGCTCCCTGACTGGGGACCTCTGGGTGATCGCAACCGGTGATAAGAGACACCGGTCGATATAGCTAAGTGCCGCAAACCGTGGTGTTCGTGCATTGTCTCAATTTCTTTGCAACCTTAGTCTGCTGGAATTTTGTTTTCGAATCTGCTTTCAGCTTTCCTGGTGAGAAGTACAGCGCATGGATTGTATCGAGTCAATAGCACTGGCATCAATTCAGTTGGGTTACTGGAAGCGTTTTGGGTAATCCAGGTCGCTTACTATCCTATGTCTTACCCATGTGATCGGACAGACTGCTGTGAAGCTATCATCAGATGAAAGAATCCAGAGAATGGTCAGAATAAGATTTGACGGAAGTGAATGACAGTCTTCATCAGGAGATTTGGATGTTTGGATATGCTGAGTAATACGGTTGAATGTTACAAAAGGGGTGGACTGAGTTGACGAATAGCCACCGCCTCGGCTATAGCAAGATGCAGTTGACGAACAGTTTGCGATGGATTTACCGGTACTTTGTTTTCTTGATGACCCGTGTCTGCACGGTGTTCTGCTACTGCTCTTGTAATCGTTTTTACATATGCTCCTACTCAGCCAGGCCGGCTTCTGCTTCTTGATTCTTTACGACAACTATCTGATCGTTCGTCCTACATACTGTCCCGCACATGAGCAAAGAAAGTAGTCATAGTTAAGATGAGGAGAGGCAATGTATTATGCAGTGCACATCTCATTTGCA